GGACCAGGTCCAGGTCCAGTGTAGACCTGCAGGACCAGGTCCAGGTCTAAAACTGAACAATTATTAAAGGTCCAGTGTAGACCTGCAGGACCAGGTCCAGGTCCAGTGTAGGCCTGCGGGACCAGGTCCAGGTCCAGTGTAGGCCTGCGGGACCAGGTCCAAGTCCAGTGCAGGCCTGCGGGACCAGGTCCAGGTCTAAAACTGAACCATTATTAAAGGTCCGGTGTAGACCTGCAGGACCAGGTCCAGGTCCAGTGTAGACCTGCAGGACCAGGTCCAGGTCCAGTGTAGACCTGCGGGACCAGGTCCAGGTCCAGTGTAGACCTGCGGGACCAGGTCCAGGTCCAGTGTAGACCTGCGGGACCAGGTCCAGGTCTGTAAAGAAACCCAGAACTGATGACGTCTCCTGAAACTAACAGCTGGAAGTTTTAAGACTTCTCAGATCCTGTTTTCTTTGTGGACCTGAACGCCCCCTCAGTCTTCCTCTTCCTGTTTTCTGGTCCTGGTGGTCCAGGATCAGATCTGGATCTGAACACGGTGGTTTTCTTCCAGCTGAAAGTGAAAGTTTGTTTCTAAAAAAAACCTCAAAACTTCCCCGTCGCTCAGTCTTAGTCCTTCAGTTCTGAGCCGGTCCTTCAGTTCTGAGCCGGTCCTTCAGTTCTGAGCCGGTCCTTCAGTTCTGAGCCGGTCCTTCAGTTCTGAGCCGGTCCTTCAGTTCTGAGCCGGTCCTTCAGTTCTGAGCCGGTCCTTCAGTTCTGAGCCGGTCCTTCAGTTCTGAGCCGGTCCTTCAGTTCTGAGCCGGTCCTTCAGTTCTGAGCCGGTCCTTCAGTTCTGAGCCGGTCTCAGCTCATGGTCCTCATGGTCCGGTAGATCCTGTTCTGTGGGATCTGCAGCAGAGGACTCCGGGAGTCCACTTCTCGAGACAAAACGGTCAGACCGGCTCTGCGCAGGTGGACCCGGGTCCAGCCGTAGACCAGACAGTTGAAGAAGCCCTGAGAGGCCGAGGTGAGAGCCTGGGGACAGAGAGGGACCACCTGAGACCAGGTCCTGGTTCTGATGGGTCTAAAGAGGGTTTTTGTTTCTCCTCCTTTATTCAAACTGAAACATTTTATAATTAAAACTTTAAATTCTCTCAGAACAGGTTAAAAACTTAAAGTAAATAAAAAGAAGGCGGGGCCTCTGCAGTCACTCAGTGGGAGGTTCCTGGAGAGTGGGCGGAGCTTGTAAATGATTGGTTGGATGAACGGCGGGCAGCTGGGGGCATATAACAGGTCGACTGGGTCACAGGTGTTTTACTGATGACAGAACTTCAATCCAACCAATTACTGTTCAACAAACTCCGCCCAAACAGCCAGGCTCCGCCCCCTGCATACAGCAGACTCACCTGAGCGATGTAAAGGACCACCCCCGCTCTGCCGTGACCCGCTGTGGGCTTGGCCACCCTCAGGAAGGCCAGCGACACCGCTGGAACAAACAGAACCACACAGAGTCAGGAGTCTGACACCAGGACCGGACCTGAGCATCAAGCCCCGCCCCCCCAGGACTCACCTGGACCCCAGCAGAGGACAAAGATCAGAGGGTACAGGACCATCCTCCGGTCCAGCAGGTGGAAGGAGGCCCGCTGCTCGGTGCCCAGGTAACCGCTGGAGGTCACAACACGCCTGTAGATCCGCCGGGCTTTCACCACCAGAACCTGGAGCAGGACGGGCAAAAGTTTTAGGCCAGGAGCCTCACCTGTCACGTCCCACCTGTTCACCTGCAGCTCACCGTGATGCTGAGCAGCGTGAGCACGAAGGTGACCAGGAAGACCAGGATCTGGTAGTTGTGCAGCAGGCGGCAGGTGGAGCTCAGCTGCTGCGCTGAGGTCAGGTACAACGCACCTGTGTGCATCAGCAGACACCTGTGGGGGCGGAGCCAGGGTCACAACACACCAAGGATGTTTTCACAGGACATCATGTTCAGCTCAGGTGTGGCCTCACCTGTACGGCTCAGTCAGGTTGGCCTGACAGTAACTCAGGTTACCCTGGATGAATACAGGTGTCATCAGCAGCACAGGTAACACACTGAAACACAAGGATGACATCATTCTCACCTGTCACTGCAGGGAGCACACACACCTGTACAGGTGTGTGTGTATGTGTGTGTGTGGTCACCTGTACAGGTGTGTGTG